GGGGGGGGGGGGGTGTTGCCCTGGAGGCACGCATCCGCGACTCCCTTGCACACGGGATACCAACAATGCAGAAAACCCCACGGTGTGATGCTACAACGAGGGGCGACTTATGTTTTCTCGTGAGCTAGCAGGTGGGGACACCCCAGTGGAGGCAAAGGCAGCCTGTAGCTCTCCCATATCTATCAGCTACCTTAAATTCATGCAGCTTTTTCCGTGGGGAAGGTGCGGCCTGGGGGCCAAGGTGCAACGGAAGAGCCGTAATCACACCTTTCCCCATGGCCTAGCTAGGGGCATAGGGGAGCCGGCTTTGCAGAGCTCCTGTGCGCTCCACCCCTCAGGCGGGCGAGCGGGAGGATGTGGGGAGTGAATTGAGCCTAGACTCTGCTTCCTTGATGTGCCCAGTTACACTGGCTGTCGGGCAGTGTCACTGGCAGGGGTTCGGTGCACAGTGCGCCTGCCTTGAACCGTAACACCAGGACCTTCCTCCTCCAGCTGCGCAGCTGCCTGCAATGGCTGGGCTGCCCGTAAGACCCCAAAGGCTGGCCAGGGTCCGAAGCAGCGCCGAGCACCTCTGCTCAGGTTCGGAGGGATGTTGTCACTGCCACGGCCCATTCAAAATGGTCCTTTTGAAGGCACTGCATTTGAAAGCCTGTCCAAACCTATGCCAATCCTGCAGTGGGTCCAAAAGAAGACTTCGCCCACAGAAACCCCAAGCTTTCTGCTCACTGAAAAACCACTGGTGAAAACACAGGTGTGTAAGGAGAGGAGGCAGGAAAGCACACTCCTTTCAGAGGCTTCATAGGCAAGGGGAAAAGCAATTCTCGATAAGGAAGGTGTCTTCACGGGTGCCTTAGATCTACACAAGACATGTCTAACCCCAGCAAGAGAAGCCTTCAATATCTCTTGCAGTCGTTCAGAGACGGGGCATCTCTCTGGACACGTGTTTGGGTCTAGCTGGGCTCAAGTGTCCTAGTGAGAACGAACAACTGCCCCTGTGATGGGTGACAATGACTGGCCCGCTCTGTGCAGGGGTCAGACTAGATAAGCACCTTCATAGCTACAAAGGCGCCACCTTTCCGGCTCTGCTGCTCACATCTGCACCCAGAAATGGGGAGGCCCTTCAATGCAGTGTGCATGAGGCTTACAGATACCACCTCATACACAGGCATTGCTCTTAGACCTGATACGATGTTGTGTGCTTCACCCGAACAGAACTTAGGGTGTCCAGAGGCAAGAGCAGAGCCGGGACCTTGAACATAAAACAGGGGTCTCCCCAAAAGGCTCAAGCCCAAGCTTCCTGCTGGTGCATTTACAAAGACCTGCTCTCCTTCCTGCCAATGCATATAGACAATTTAACTTGCATTATACAGGTCTGGCCTGGGTTTCTCATGCAGGGCACAGAGAGATGATCACTGCCTCTTAGAAGAGAAAGCTAAAGGTCATCTTTGCCTTGCACACGTATCTAAAGGGCTCCCATCTGGTGGCGTTCCTGCATTGTTGTAACCCGCCTTGCACCTGGGATCTTTCCCCAGTTGCATTTGTCCCGGAAAGAGAGACCTGCAAGAGCAGCAGCTTCATGCAACAAGGGACGTAAGAGACTCTAGAGAGCTAGCAGATCGGCTAGCTGAGCACAGCACGAATCGCCGGTCCACGGGGTAGCAACTACATTGTGCTGTGGTGCTGCAGCTGGCAGCCCAGCAGGGAGAGATGCGAGATACTAATGTGATGACCCGTGAGACGGAGGGATCCTGGGGACACAGCTCTAGGGCAGCCTCCTGGGACTCCAGCCATGCTTGCTGCAGAAGGAAACCGGTACCAATGCGAAGTCTTGCTCGTCACTGCCTGTGATGGGGACCTGCAAAACAAACAGGACAGCCGGTCACTCGGGAGCAAAGCGAGGAGTGTTCGAATGACAGCCACCCGCCGGGCCCGGGGGATGCTTCCTGGAGCTGGCGGGGGCACAAACACTGGAGCTGGAAAGCGCTTTACTGGGGGCAGTGAATGGTTACAGAAAGACAAAACTGGGTCCATGCCAAGTCACCTATCCCAAGCTAAGTGCAGAAGCAGCTACTGCAACCTCCCCTACCTTTATGAGACTGTTCGGGTTTGCAAAGCTGATGCCCGGCGCTGGGTTGGCTTGGGAAACAAGCCTGGTCGAAGTCCTCCAGGGGAGGCGGGGGCCTGACAAGCACAAAGAGAAAGAAATATCAGGTCAAAGAGCCAGGCATGACAAGCGTGTCAGTGTCCTTTGCAAGGAGCATGTTATAAATGTTTTATTTTTACACTCCGTTGAATAGGCAACAGTTTTACTTCTGGAAAGGAGCTAAAAGCAGCCCACAGAGTATGTGGGAGCCAGAGTTTGCCAGGCGTGGACTGGGCTGCAGAGCCCAGCTTTCGCTCTTCACACCAACACCATCTCCTCAGAGGAGGCCTGGGCAAAGCTTCTGGGCAGAGAGATCCCATCACCATCCTTCAAACTTTACACGTGTCACCAAAAAAAGCCAATGGGATAAAATTCAAGAAAAGATTTTTGATTTCTGGGGTGTATTTTTTATCGAATCTGTTCGCTGAATCACAGTTCTAAACACTTGCTGGTGAACAAGACGTTTCGCTTCAGAAGTTGGATGAAAAACAAACCAGACAGAAATCTTCCCATGAAAAATCAGCTTTTCGAAGTCTGAACCTTACAATACCAATGGTTTCCCCTGACCGTGGCCAACTCAGCCTTCTTAACAAGTCTTGATAAGACTCCTAGCACCAATGGGGTGAGAGCCACCAAACTCATCTCCAAACTGGCCTTTCCATCTGTGAGGGATCAGGGCATAGGATGGCTGGAGAATGCAGACAAGCAGTGCAATACCCTCTGATGCAAAGGATTCAGGACTTGTAGAGAGAGTATGAGCAGGGGGAATGGAAGGAGGTGCTAGCACACATGTGCCTCAGTTTACCAGCTCTTGCGTTACTGCTGGACTTAGTCACTTGCAAGCAGTGAACCCAACCTTGGGAGATGTTTGGCCCCTCAAGGCTGCTTTAATGACACCAACTCACAGAACCAGAGTCATAGAGAAGTGGGACTGGAAAGGAGCTTCAAGGTTGCATCTGGAGCAGGATCATCATCAATGACATCACTATGAGGTAATGTGTCCCGGGTTCATTTAAGCAAGCACCACATCTTGCTGCACGCCTTGCATGGCCTTGCACCCACCTTGGTGGTCCCCAGTCTGGTCCGACGGTGGCTAAAGTCTCTTTGTAAAGATCCAGAGAGTGAGCTCAAGCCTTTATGTATATCCAACCAGGAGACCCAGCCACAAATGCCTGTCTGCTCACCGCGGCTCAGCTCAGACGATGTTGGCCATGGGCTGCCGGCTACACGTGCCTTAGCCGACGTGGCGGATGGGCTGGTAGGCTCCAGGTGGAGTCCTGACTCCTGGGCTTCATGCATGTGCTCCCTGAGGGCACTTCAGATGGGGTTTTCTGCCTGTTCCCCCGACTCTGCATTGAGCTTACCGTGCATTCTTCTGCCTCTGGGGTTCGTGGCCCTCTCTCGATCTTGGCCGCACAGATTCACTGGGATCCTGTTGAGGGGAAGAAGAGAGGGAGCCAGTCACTGGAGTGGCCCAGCATAAATACTCTTCCCTTTGCACCTACTGCAAGAGACGGGACTCTGGACTGGTGGGCTGAGCACTTCTCATGCTCATACCATCTTGCTGGCTGAAATCTAAGTTGTGCACTACCCTTGGTGCACAGAAATTCAGTAGAGATGTGCATCTGGCGTCTCCAGCACTCATCCCCAGGCTCCCTGCGCCAAACCCCCTTTCCTGTAAATCTGGGCAGGTTGTTCCAGCTGCCAGGCCTAGCAGACGACACCATCTGAAGCTGTAAGCGCTTTGCAGACAGGATTTCTGTCTGGCAGCTTGTGATACAGAGGTGCTAGCACTATGCGACTTGCCGCCTACTTTGGGCCATCGATCCCAGAACAGGGGTGTTTGCTATGCGATGCCATCCTGCAACACTTACGCTGATGGCGGAAAGCTTCTGCCCGCCCTCAGCAAGGGTCGGTTTTTGCAGACCAAATGCAGTTATGCCTTCCCTCCTGCCTAGCATGACTGCAGCCCCCCTTTCCAAACCCCTTCAGCTATATCTTCTTAGGAGCTGTGTCACTGTGGGCACAACACCATTGCTGCACATCCCCAGCCATCTGCCTGCAAACTGGCTCAGGAACGCAGCAGACGCAGCGCACGGCTCGTGGTGGTCCAGTTCAGTGCCAGCAAACAGGGGAGGCCAGACTAATCCTCGGCTCTGCAGACCCCCTGGGCCAGACTGCAATATGCTCAGAGAGTCGACGATCTTGGGCATTAACCAGCTCCTGACACCCCCCCGCGCCCCTTCTGCTCATGTGGTGGAAAGGGCAGAGTCCCCATCTCACAGCAGTGGCCAGAAGAGCCTCGTGGCTGGTGCTGATGCCAAGAAGAAGGGCCATGAATCTGTGCAGGAGCCTGGTGACACCCTGCAGGATCTCCTCAGGGCCCTGGGACCTGATCCTCAATGAGGTGCTCAGGTCTGCACTCAGGGAGAGCTCAGCAAGCTGCTAACTCATGCTTGGCCGCTTTCAGGATCAGGTCCTTTATTTCGCCCCTACCTACATTTCCCTACTTCACCCTCTGGATCCAGGCCTCTGCAGCCCCTCGAGCAATCAGGATATAGCAGTCCTAACAATGCTCCTTTCATCTCTGTGTGCCTCAGTTTCCCCACCTGGGAGAGGGGCGGTGATGACACTTTCTTAGCAGGCAGGGGCGATTGCAGGTTGAACCTACCTTCCAGTCTTGGTCCTGCCTCTTCTTCTCGTAAGAGGGTTTCTCTCTCTCCCTTGATTTCCTGTAGACCTTCTTGTTCTCCTCAGCCATCAGCAGACGGGCGATTTCCTAGCAGGGAAAAGACATTGCAGCCGGTCTCTGAGAGCATCTGGGCTATTGCAGTTTAAAGGCACACCAGTGCCTTCCCAATGCAGCAATCAGAGAGTCTGGGCTCGAGACTGCTCATACTGCGATGTACGTGTCACCGGGAGCCCATTTATTGCCACCAAATGGCTGCAGAAGAACATAGATGCAAACCCCATGGGTTTGGAGGTTTCCCCCTATGCCTCATTAGCTCACCCATCTCCTTGGTCTTCTAACAGCCAGATTTAGCTGCAAACAGAGCCAGGCACAGCCCATGGCCAAGCCTCTAGTTTCTGTTAACTTTACTGACATACAGCTGTTGTCCACAGCTGGCAATGGAAGAAGCAGCCTATGGGAAAGCCACCTCCTTCCAGCAGCTGGCTTGCAACGGACTGCTCTGAGGCCTTGGAGAGAGCGAAAAGACTTGAAAGCAAACTGGACAGGTCTCTGCATTGCCTTTGAGTGGCATGGTGCGGGCCCCAGAGCGGGAGGGTTAAACAGGTCTCCCACACTCTGGTTCTCCAAGGCTCGCCCCTCTAAGCATTCAAACCTTTACCTTACTCACCTCATCTTGGGCTACTTGAGCTGCCCTCTGATCCACCTGGTTGGCCTGGAAAGAAGGAGAGTTACATTTGAGAGGTCTACATTCAATCCCACAACGGCACAAAACTTGCTGAAAGGACTGGCATGTGAAACTTTTGACAAATCCCTCAATGCAAGAGCAATGTCCTGTGCCCAAAGAGCAAGCACAGCACCATAGTCAGCAGAGCTGACCTGGACAACGGTGCCGACATTTCTTTGGCCTCCGCGCTGTATAAACCATCGGAACAGCCTTTGCAGGAAGAAGCATTTCTGAACATGAAGGTAAGCGAAAACCAGGATAAGCTGCACCATGGCTTCATTAACTGTAGATCTCATCAAGCTAACTTAACACCTCTCCTGGATGAGACAAGCATCTATTTAGATAAGGGAACTTAATCAGTTTATGTTTGAACCAGGCATTTGAGATACGAGCCTCTGGGAAAATTCAGACTCAGGATGAAGATAACGATTCATCATCTGTTCTCAGTGGGGGCAGTTGACAGAAGGAGCAATGGGCTCAAGCTGCAGTACGGGAAGTAGAGGTTGGATATTAGGAAAAACTCTCTCACTAGGAGGGCAGTAAAAGACTGAAACAGGTTACCTAGAGGGGTTGCGGACTCTCCATCCTTGGAGGTTTTCAAGACCCAGGTAGACAAAGCCTTGTCTGGGATGATGTAGTTGGGGCTGGTTCTGCTTTGAGCAGGGGGCTGGATTAGATGTGACCTCCTGAGGTCCCTTCAACCTTCATTTTCTATGATTTGATAACTGCGTCTACACATGCTCACGCTTAATGCACCTTAAAAATGGTGATTTTAGGCTATTTGCACTTAAGTTTGATTTAAGTGCATCTAGTCCAACTCCTTGCTTAAATTTCAGCAGGGATTGGACTAGCTGTGACCTCCTGAGGTCCCTTCGACCCCTCTTTGTCTATGATCCTATATACTGGAACCACTGCAGAGATGGGCTCCTAAGATAATTAGGGGAACAGAGAATCTGTGTTGGGAAAGAAGAATATAAAAGACTGTCTCTACCTGCCAAAAAGAAAGCTAAGATGGCTAAGACCGCCCTTCCGCTATCATTTCCTCAAATACATGTAGGGGGATCACAGCCAGGGGGAGAAGAACTGTTTAATTTAAGGATGATGTTGCTGCAAGAGCAACTGGGTATCAACTGGGCCAGGAATACACATAGGAGGGGAATGAGAAGGAGGTTCTTATCTGTCAGGAGTGAATGGGCTCCTGAACCACGTCGTAGGAGCAAGGACCCTCATAGGTGTAAAGATGGACCCTGATGATGCCCCGGCAGACACTGCAGGGCTGACCCTGGAGCTGTCAGCATGTTTTGGGAATTGCATTTGGAGGGGCTGAAAGGATGTGAGGTCCCCGGGGGCTGCCCACAGGTGTGGGAGGAGTGTGGTCTCAGTGGTCTTGACCTTGCTGAGGGTATGGCAGGGCCTGGTGCAGAGGTGGATACTAGAGAAACTGGTCTCAAAGAGACATGTGGTTCCTTGGTGAGAAAGGGGGGTTGCACCTAGCAGAGATTTGGACCATGGGGTTTCATAGTTTCATAGTTTGAAGGGTCAGAAGGGACCTGAGTAGATCATCTAGTCCGACC